TAAGACACCAGGCGTGCTGCAATTACTCTCTGCACTATGTTCTTTCAACATTCTTAGGTGTAATGTGGGCTCGATTCAATTGCCCACTGCAAAGCCCTTTTCCTCAGTAATCGATATGCACCTCGCATCTCCTTTTGGGGGTCAAGCACCGTGTTCTTTTTTTTTTTTAATGTTAGATTTAATGTTGCTATTTTTTTGTAAACTTTTTTTCTTTCTGTACATTGTGCTTTGCCTTTCATTTATTTCATTTTTATCCTTGGCTATTTATTTATTTGTGGTTATTCGCGTATCTTTTCGCTTTTTCTCGTACCCTTTCATGCAAAAATATTTAAAGGGTGAGGCAGTGGTGATGTACAAGGAAAGAGAATTTCACTTCATTCATATCCTCCTACAATATTGCTTAATAATTCGACTAGTACTCTCTGTGTAGTGTATAAGAATAACAATTCTACTTAATGAAAGCAACTGGATCGTTTGGTTGCAATATTAAATGGTGGATTGTAGTAGTGATCAAACTTTTGTTTCAAAACATTTTCGAAACATTTTTATTTTCAAAGAGATCGAAACAAATCAATGGTGGAATCGAAATTTTAATACTTCAAAGTGTTTCACAATGATTCAAAGTGTTTTTGTAATGTTTCAATACATTTGCACTATTGTTTCGGAATGTTTCAATATATTTTAAGATACTTTGACATATTTCGACCAATATTTAAAAAAAATAATTTTTAAATTTTTTATTTTTTTCATTATATTTTGGAAACAATCGAAATGTTTCCAAAGCATGTTGAGAAGTTTTTATTTTCTGGGTGACCAAAATAATACTTTGATCCTTATATTATAAAGTCATAACAAATTAAAACTCTGTAATTTAACCTTGTATTGTATTTAGTTGTCAAAATCAATATTGTCTTATTTCCAATACTTATACGAATAACACACTCTACTCATACAATTGACCCGATTATAATACCACCTCCAGTTCATACAAACATATTATGTTGTCCACCAAATAGATAAAAACATGAATAATTAGACTAAATTGGGGTTTTTTTTAACATGTAAGTATCACTATTATCCTAATTGTAATTCGGTGTGTTACCAAATATAGGATTACAACTTATAATATTTTTATCCCATATTTACTCTCATATTGTCTCCGTGTATACTAAATTAACTAGTATTACCTAATTGTTTACATCCAAAAATAACGAGAGCAAAAAAGTGACATGTGAAAGAAATTCAACAGTCACAAGAAAGTCTGTGAGAGTCAACGATTAACGCATAGAGCAACTCCAACCCTACTATCTATTTTAGATACTCAAAATATATTTAAATATTACATTCTCTATTTTAGAGTTTCACTTTTATAAGGTCATTATAATCATGCCCTCTATTTTATCTAATTACTCCACCTAATTTTCACTAACTTTTAATAATTTAAAGGGAATTACAATATATATATATATAAAGAGATAGAGAGAGAATTTAGAGAGCCATTTAGCTCTCCACATTTGGTGAGCTATTTGGTTGAAATGAAAAATAGAGAGTGGGTTGAAGAGTTTTTTTAGTGATTGGCTTGCTAAAAAAGCTAAAAAATGGGAAATAGTGAATGGTTTGAAATTGCTTTTAGAAGAGTTGGAAACGGTTCAACACAAATGTATCTCGAGATAAGTTCATGTTAACAAGTAATGGTCGAAAAAAATGAATCGACGGTTGAAAACCATTTCTATAAATAGCAAAAGTCAGGCCATTGAGTAGAGATCACATGATCAATCACGAAATAAAAAACTCTACACATAGTCAGTTGAACATTTTTACTTGTTTCTTGCTTCTGAGCAATTTTACTCTTCTTGTAGTCTTTCACTCCATTAATCTTTTATTGCTTTCATTTAATGCTAAATTCAGTATTTGTTATGCCTTCCAATTTCAAATTCAGTGTACCTATTGCTTTTCTTTCTTGTTGTTTGTTTCACAATGTCATTTATACATTTCTATTTGGTGAAATTATTTAAAATCCTTGAACCCCAAGACAAAAAAGAACTTAGAGGTGACCTTAAGCATTGCTGCATTCATCTGAATAGTCATGATTTTAAAACCTCACGGTAGTTTAAGTAGATAAGGTCGTATGTGTTTAGATTTTAAATTGATTTAAACTTTGACATGCTCATAATCCAAAAATATGTCAAACACTAATAGAATTACTTAACCAAATGAGCCAAGTGTACTAGCCATCCATAATGAGCTCCAAGACACGCACATAATTGACTCGAACGTCAAAGAGACTATAACTCAAACCACAACAATTTACCTAACCACTACTACAATGGTCTATTTTATACAATTTCATTGATTGTGGTTCAACCTCCATCTGTTTTATGCATGAACAAGGACCATTCCCACAATTCCCATAAGTAAAGGTTTAAATGTTAATTGTACTTAATTTGAGAATTTAATTCATTATGATCGTTGGATGTATTTTAAAATTCATAATTAATCTAATAACTATTTGGATGTATTTTAATATTCATAATTAATGTAATAATTATAATAAATTAAATTATCAAATTAAGTTTTCAAATTAGGTTCAAGTAGTATTACTTGTAAGAGGAAGACTATCAGAGTAGCTTCATGCAGTCATAGTGATAAATCTACTGTACTGCATGAGTTCCTACATGTACGCAAGCTTGCGCAACACAGAGGGGGGGAGGGAACAGGGGCGTAAATGAAGGGAAGACGAGGTGGGTCGGGGCATTTAACAAAAACCGATGGTGAGAGTGACGAAGAAAGATGTTTGTAGAAAGCGAGGTGTTTCAATGCTGATCCTTGAATTCTGCATTTAAAGCGAATTCAAGATCAGTTAATGAAGGCAGGTGTGGGGTTAAACTCTATCTCTCTCTCTCCGGCCTTGGTTTTGCTCCCTATTTCCCTATGCATCAATTTCAATATTCAACATAACTGAGTTCCTTACAAAAATACCCTCAGATTTGGAAAAATGGTTTAAACCCTACTCAATTGAGTCTATCAGTGAAGATGGGTGTGTTGTCGTGACAAGCAGCTCTGTAACTTACTGAATGCTGCCTTTCAAAATGTATGGAGTTGCATAGCTAGAGAACACCCTTATTGACCCAAGCATAACCTGCAAGGCGTCTTAACTCCCCCCATCATTCAAAGAAATCTACCCTTTACAGATCTTGCAATTTTAGCACCCTCTTTTTTCAATGCTCTCACTCGGCACAGCAATACTATTAAGGCTTAATTTGAGAATCTAATTTGACGGTCTCATGATTGAAATGGGTCAACTTTCAATCCTACGATTGTAATGTATTAAGTAGATACAATACAAGGACTACTATTGTTGGAGCATATGCTGTGTACGTGCATTTATACAGCACCAGTGAAGTTATAACACTCTTATTAGATCAGAAAGGGTATCAGCGTAGTTTTATGCATGTATATGCAGAGAACAAAGGACCAACTTCAATTCATGATGAATAATGGGAGTTTTGGACCTTAAACCTTTTTGTCATAACGCACAATTACATGAAGAGACAGCAGGATTTGAACCTATGACCTTAAAGTCTAACAGCGCAAATAATATTTATTAAGCCAACCGCCAACCTTAGAAATTAAAGTTCATTTGAAGACATTTGGTTTGTTTGAGAGAGGAAGAGATTTCTAGCTCATATAAATGTGATGGTTTTTAATACCTGAGGCCGTTGTGAGCTTTTAAAGTTTTTGTTGTTCAATGGATGAGTAAATCTATAGCTCATGGGACGTGGTTTATTTAATAGCAGAGGGTGTTGAGAGTTTTTAAAGTTGTAGTTCTTTGAGTGACACAATGGTGGGAGTTGGAGTTATGACATCCATTAAAGATCGATAGGCATTCAGGACCTTCTTCAACTGTACATATACTCCCACCATTAAATGACAATTGCACATCTCTCTCTCTCTTCGTCACCGCCTATACAACTACATTTAATAACGTCCAAAGATCCTTGTTTCGGCTTGGCATCCTTGACAAAAATAGCGGAGCCAAATAAGCTAAGCCCCAATTACAACCACCTTTTAAAGGCCAAAAACTTGACACAATCGGTTATCTGAACATGAGTCAACACAAGGTTAACGAAAATAAGTTTAATCTTACAATAGCCAGGTTGGCTCATCAAAGTCACTTAACAAATCATACAACTATTATAGATTTTTCATGAATAAATTAAAAATTTTGATATAACACAACCTAATTCATTATCAAATCAATGTCATCATTCTATATAAATACTTATACAACATTAACTTTTTAGAGCCGTTTGTATTTATAGTACCATCCAAGCAAAGAGGACGTACGTTTGAATCTTGCCCTCACATTGGGAATTATAAACTCACATATACTTGACTAAAAAACTAACTACACGCAATGAGACTGTTAACGCATAAATTTTTTTTTGTGCTGTGCCTTTTCATAGTTTAAACTTATAGAAAAATTAGTTGGTTAACTCGGACATGTAGGTAATCAAAAAAAATTGTAGGTTAAATCGACATGTAAGAAATGATATGGCTGTCTATGTGTTTAGTAGTCCTAACTCCAGTTCGATCAGAGATCAGGTGAGCCAATAGAATATCTATGAGCCGCATAGTGAATATTTGACTGAGGGTTGGTTAGGACTTAACATCCATGCTTTTAAGAACGTCTTGGATCTGTGTAGTAATTGCAAAGCCAATATCACTTGAAGAGTACGTCACAGAGAGATGGGCCTTTTAGTTCCACATTTAAAGTTTTGCCCTTTTAGATTCTCCTTTAAGTTGTTTGCCCTTCCATATAGCTCACTCTCTCCTATATTATCACGCATAACATTTTCACCATTTCATATGTGAGAGTGAGAGAGAGAGAGAGAGAGAGAGAGAGAGAGAGAGAGGAGTGGTGATCATCTTTGAGTTTCATCACTCATGGTTTCCTTTTACCAACTCGAAGAATTTTAATTCCAGAGGCCGAGGATTCTATGACGAAAAGGAAACGGGAGGAGTCACAAGCAGAAGAGGTTTCCGAGAAGCCGCAAAAAGCTAAAAGCATGAAATCGGTATTCAAAACTGACCTAAACCACGAGACTCCATTACCTTTAGAATGGCAGCGATGCCTCGACATCCAGGTATAACTTAAAACCTGATCCCAGTTATGTCCTGTTTCCTCAGGAAACTATTCATATAACTACATGGTCATGTCCACTTAAGCTAGAGTAATATGGTAGGTTAGTTTTAAGACCCTAAAATTCCCTCTTTTTGGGTGCAGTCTGGGAAAATATACTACTATAACACAAGAACCCACACAAGGTCATCAAGGGATCCAAGGGCAAGTCCAGAGCCGCCAAGTCCAAGTCACATGAGCTTAGACCTTGAGCTAAATCTACCATGTGGGACAGGTAAACTAATCAACAGTACCATATATTGTTCCATTTTAATTAACTGGTTTATGTTTGTTATAAACTAACAAGATGGTTAGAAACGTATTTTTCCAACTTGATTTTGACAGTTGAAAAGAACCATGTTGCCAACAGTCATATGAAGCATAATTCTGGTAGCAGTAGTACCTCAAACGATTCCCTTGATCAGTTCACAAACTCCAATCGAAATAAGAACATGGGAGGCCTTATGCGTTTGCCATCATGGTTAACATTTGATCAAGACGATCACCAAGAGATGATAACGGCTGTGTGCAAGAAGTGTCATATGTTGGTAATAATGTGCAAGTCTTCTCCAGCATGTCCAAACTGCAAATTTATGCACCCACTAGACCAAAGCCCTCCGACCTTGTTCAAGCAAAGGCTGAGTCACTTGTGTTGAGGATTGTCTGGTGTCTAATAAGGTGTTAGGTAATACTTTACTCAATATGTTGCAGTGTTCAGTATTGGTGACGTGCATCTAGAAATCTAAAGCCTCACTTTGATAACTTTTATTCCTCCCCCTCTCGTGAGAAAAGGAAAAATTGGCTGTCACAGAGGATGTTGGGGGTCAATAGAAGAGAGGAAAACAAAGAGNTATGCTGTCAAACTTGTTGGTTAATACACTGTTCAGGCCCAATCATTACAGAATTCAAAATTTGCATGGAAAAGATTTGATACTAATCATATTTGTAGCCTAAAAGTCAATACCTGCAAAAACATGTGTGAAACACGCACACAGGGGTAGCGAGCTCATTATACCACCAACTCAATCAGTTTTTTATTTTTTGCAGAAGCCAACTTTTGATCAATTTCACTGTTAAAAAACGAATCGACAACTCAAGTCATCAAATATATACAATTTTGTGTGAATCCTCGGTAATTCAAGAAAAGTTTCAAAAAAAAAACCTGCAGTGAGCATTCGCCAAACTTCCAGATAAAGCCGAATCCGAGAACACACTCGAGGAGATCGATGTAGTTTTGGCAGATCCTGAGAACGACCTGACCTGATCCAGCTTCAAGCATTGAAATCCTACCAACTTGCTCATTATTTAAATCGAAGTCAGAAACCACTGCTCTAGTTAGCAATGTAACTTCGAATCTCAAAGTTTAGAGCGAATCAATAGAAATGCAACCGTGTACACACTACTCCAACTCAGTTTTTGAATGTCTCAAAGCTGAAATAGAATTTCTAATTTCAGTGCTCCAAGTGAAAGAAATCCACATAAATTCGGTGTCCAATCTCTCGCTAGCCATTGCCGTTCACTATCAAAGATTGAGAGTTCTCGGGAAACTCAACGGATCAAACCCTAGAAATCGGTTTTCAAAGCCTTAGTTCAAGAGTTCGAACTGAGAGATCGAACGATTTGAAGCGAAAACCCTAGAAACGAGTCCCTGAAGCGTGCAATCTCAGGAGGTCTCTGAAAATTCGAGAGTCCAACTGAGGTTCAAATTTATTCTGGCGCCAAGGCAATTCAGTACTTATGGTATCTTCGGCAATAGGGATCACAGTAGATCGAAGCGGGAGCGGAGAGTGGAATCTTTGTTTTCATACCTGTTTAAAAAAATTTTATTCATTTTCGCTTTACTTCTATTAACGGATATAATTTTTATTTTTATTTCTATCCTCGGGTAAATTTCTAATTTTCGTCCCCGTCCTCGTTTCTCCTATACTCGCTTATGCCCAAGTTCAAGCCCAAGCCCAAGTCCAAGTAGTATAATTTAAAATTTTAAATAAATTTAATATTTTAAATAATTCAACAACATTCTAAATAATTTAGTGAATAATCTAGATTATAAAATGTAAAAGTCAAAATAATATGATATTTTATTTAAAGTGTCATTAGACCACAAAAAAAAAACGGAACTATTAGAGAGAAAGAAATAAAATTAAACTAAGAAAACGATAGCATTACACTTGAAGTTTCCTAAAATAATTTTTGTTATTACAATTCATATTACAGTCATAAAATTTTAAAAGATGAAAACTTAAAATTTTGTTATTTCAATAATTCTCCTCATTTCTTAATTCACTTTAGCAGAGAAACTCATCAACCTTCATTCACAATATTTCTATTTACAATGAAATGCAAAACTATCTTACTCTCTGTTATCTGTTTTTAGAGTATGATCAATCCAAACTTTTAACAGTTTCAATCAGTAAACACAAATAAAAAAAAGAAAAATTAGGAAAAAAAGTTGATAAGATTATTACATAGCAATGTCACTTGTTAGTTTGATTACCGTATTTCTAAATTGATAGTTACAATAAATATGTTTAGTTAGAGATTGGGAGTATATATATATATATACCCTTACCCTTACCCCTACCCCCACCCCCGCCCCCACTACCCGTTATATATATATAATTATAATTTTATAATATAAAATAGAGCGGGGCTTCAATAAGTCGATAGTACGATCTTCATTCATCCAAAAGCTCACAATACATCTCATTCAAATTCAAAAGTCTATATATTTTCCCCCTAAATCCATCTCATTCAACTTAACCCAACCCAACTATCACATCCAACCCAATTCAACCCAACCCAACGGCTCTTCCCCAAATCTCTTCTCTCTCATCTCAGTCTCTTCGCTCTTAGCCACTGTCATCAAGAAGTTCATTTCAGTGCTTGATCGAACCAGAATCGGTCACACTCGATTTCGAAGAGGTCCGGTGACAAACCCACCTCAAAATCAACAACAACAGAAAATTATCACCGCAGTATCGAAGCCGATCGGTGAAGGTACCGCCAACCACCATCAAGCGGCGGAAGAGAAGGCAAAAATCTCCGGTTGTCTGACACCGATTCAACGTCTCCCTCCTCTTCCTCACACCCACCCCAACCGCCAAACCCAGGTATTTCTCCCTCTTCTCTCTCTCACACACACACTGACCCCCTCAATCTCTCTCCCCCTTCTGCGTAACCCCTCACCCCTACCCTGTCTACAAAACCAACCCACCAACCCCCACCAAAAAATCCACCCACGCACTCAGAGAAACACACACACACACATAGCAGAACACTCCTATTTATAGGTAGTGTGGTTGTTTCGCAAGTGGTGAGATTAAACCATTGACGAAATTGAAGGGTTGGAAGTTCAGAAGAAACCTTTCCATGGTGATTTGCAACGAAGATGTACTGATTCAACATTGAATTGGTGCAGTGAATCAGAAGATGGGTAGCTTCTGGTCGAGTTTGAGAATGAGTTTGGTGAGCCTCGACAAAGAAAGGGTCGGTGATTAATTCCCGCTGGTAAGGCTTTGAGCGTGGAGAAGACGATATCGAATGGAATTGAAGAATCAGAAACCCGAATTTTCTTCGTATTTGCTTCTTTTGTTCATGTTCATCAAAGGGTATTTATCTTCAATGGTAGCCCAATGACGACATAAACCCAGACGATTTGGGCCAGATGTATTTATTCTCTTTAATTTTTTAGTCTTAACTTATATGGTCTACTTTTGATCGATTGTACCGAAGAATAGAGAAATCAAAGTGCCAAAAAATTAGTTCAAACACCCGGACTATAATACCAGGAAAAAAAAATACCATATTTAGGGTTTGTATTGCATTCAGAAAATAAAGAAACTCTGTGTAAATATTGATTTGCATATGGGATTTATAGGTGACTCTCTCTCTCTGGCTGTTGTATCTCTCCTGCTCATTTCTCACTCCGCTGCTCATTCTGCGCGGACAGCATGCCAGGTACCTCACAACTCTCTACTTCTCTCCCAATCTGTCTTTAATATGATTTATGATTGTTGGTTGTGTTTTAATTTGAGTTTTTGTTTATAATTCGTTAGTTTGTGTAATTTGTCTCAGTTAATGATTGAGTAAAATATAATTTCGTTTGGTGATTAAGTAAAACTAATTTGATTTTGTTCATTATCTTATGTCTGGGTTTTGCATCCAAAGTAATCAATCTTCTGTGTTTGTGGATTAGTTTTCCATGGGAGCTGTAAAAATTTAAAAGTTGATTACTAGCCTTTTAGGTATAGTGATAAAACATATAAATTGTGTATACAAGATGGAAATTTCTAGATTCCTATTTTGAGGGAAAACTATCCTTTTTTTTTTTGATTTATAGAGCCTATAAACTTATTTAGTCTCTTTAATGTATTTTTATATCCCTTGAACAATTAGTGTCATACCACTTTGAATGTTATCTATTTTGTTTGAACTCTATAAAGGTTTATGGGTTTAAGAAACTTTCTCAATTGAAAGTTGATTATGCCCATAAGTTTTTTTTTTTCCTTTTTTCTTTGGGCGTCGAGTTGATAAATTTTTTTCCTTAATACGCGTCCGAGTTCAGTGCTCGATTGTTTTTGAATTGCACTATCACTTATCATTCTTGTATATTCTTCTGAAGCCTAAATAAAGAGACATTAAAAGACAAGAGAAAAAGTTAAGTAGCAAGAAAGGTAATGCTCATTTGCAATAAAATTTGAAAATTAGGGCACAAATATGGCCACGAAAAGTTGACAATACACCATAGGCTATGTTTTTTTATTATTTTTTGACAATTTGATGGATCCGACTTTTACTAAATTAATAAATAATTTTACTCTCACAGAATCATATCATTATGGTACACATCTAAGTGACTAATTAAAGGAACATGACAAACTAATTTGCGTAACAGTACCTGTTGCTAAGACATTAAAAACATTAAAGCCATACAGGTTTTTCAAGATGATAGAAACTCGAATTAAAAAGTATACATATTGCTCCACCAGTCGTTTCTAAATTCAATGCAATATCCCACACAGCAAACAAAATTTATGTGCTTCATAGTACATAAGTGGATTAGCCATTTATTCTCTTATAATATCGCCAATTCATGATGACTAAAGGAAAGAATGTGCATACGCCAATATAATGTTTCAATTGATCAGAGACTATATAAGTAAGAAGGAGAACAAGTATGTTGTTTTAGGTATGAGTGAAGAAGGAAAGGCTATTCTCTTACTAATTCCTTACCCTGGTGACAAAGATAAAAGTGGACTTAGCCTTGCAAACACTGCAACGACGATAATTGCCGATGAGTCGAAGGCGAACCACGCAGAAGGAGCAGATGCTGCGGTGGCCACACGTGGCAGTTGGTTTATAATGGTTTCACGGGGGTCGCAGTCGCAGGTTTGGATCTTGTTATTACCGATCCTAAGATAACTATTATTAGGATTGATTCAAATAATAAATTTGGTCTACATGTTATTTACACTTAATTTATTAACTTAATATTTTATTTTATTTTTCAACGGTCATTTGGCCTGGTAGACACTCAAAAGGCCATGCCCTCTGCCAAATCCATCTTTCTCTGTCTCCAGTCACGTTCTCTCTCTATCTCACCTCTTTTTCTCCATCTCACACACATAACACACATAGATCTCACATCTCACATCTAATTTCAATCCCTTTTTTTTTTTGTAAATCTTAGAATGTCACAGTCACGATTCTCATGAAGCAAGATTTTCATTAAGGGCACTTCAAGTATTTCCAGAGTGAGGTATGTTTTACCTATAATTTGCTTTAGTGAAAATATTTGCCTTTCAACCTGAAATTGGGGGTAGCTCTTCCTATAGTTTTCTTATTAACTGTTTGATTTTCTTGGTATCACTATTTTTGGTTTTTAGTTTTCTTTTGTTCATGAGGTTGCAATGATGAAACATGTACGACATCCAATTATTTGTCTTTCTAGATTTAGGACCTCTTGAGCCCGTGAGACACTAAAAAACTTATGCTTTAGTTAGTTTTTAGTTTTTCTGAGAATTATGGCTTTTGTTTATCATATTCTTTTAGTTAGAGTGCAAGTGCATTTCTCATGTTTACTGCCCCTCTCATCTATTATACTCTCTCATATCTCTGTTCTCTCTATTGTCCTTCTTTCTTCTTTTATTCTTGCCTATTTCGTATCTCCCTCTCTTGCATCTCCTTCAATTTTTATATTCTTAGCTTTCAAATATTTTCTGTGTGCCATAGCATTGTGTTTGTGTTCGGAGAATTTCTTTCAAGTGCATTCAGTTAAAATTTATGTAATTGAGTTGTCTCTATCTTTTCATTAAAATTTGTTTTCATGAGAATCTTTAATGCTTTGTTGAGCATGTAGTTTAGGCATTCAATGATTTGGTTGAGCCTAATGTGTGCCCATATTCAGTTTTTGATTTTTTTGTGTTCATGATCAATGTTGGATTTTTTTTTTTGAAATTTTTTTGTTATTCAATGCTTTGGTACATATCTGTTCAATGCTTCTGATACATATCTTTTCTCTCTAAAAGTAATCAGTTGCTATTCAGCTATACTAGGGATGGAGAATGTTGCTTCTGATGTGCTTCTGATATGATTACTCTTTGATATGGTTACTTTTCATTTCAAACTGCCATCTTTGATATGGTTACTCTAAAAGCAATCAGTTACATATGGTTACTCTTTGATATAGCAATCAACTACATACGTTGCATTTAAATTTATTCTTAATTGTGACTTTAAAAATCTAAGGGTCGATTAGTAGCCTTTTAGACTTTAAATTGTGCATACTGGTTAAAATTTTTATGGGATTCTATTTTTAGAGGAATCATGGAGCAATTGTTACAGAATTTATGGGGCAATTGTGCATACTGACATTGAATACAGTTCCGCTTATATTTTATAGTATTTTAAATGCTCTTCAAGTACTTTTCTTTATTGTGTTGTTTTTGTTATGTTGATTACTACATTACTTTTGCATAGCGAGTTCATTTTTTTGATACTTAGTTGTTAGTTTAGTTTGTTGCTTAAGCTTTAGTTTTTTTATACAAACGTTTATTCATCGCATTGACTTTTATTGGTATAGAAGCATAGTTCATGACCGAATACAAATATAAATTGCTTGTTGTGAATTATGTAGATTATGAACTTTTTCTTTGAACTGAAATTATGACTTATTTGGTTGAAATTGGGAATGATTTAATATCAATTGAAATTTTTTTGCTTCAATTTAGATGACAACTTTAAAANTTTTTCTTTGAACTGAAATTATGACTTATTTGGTTGAAATTGGGAATGATTTAATATTAATTGAAATTTTTTTGCTTCAATTTAGATGACAACTTTAAAATTGGGAATGATTTATATCAATTGCATTTGAGATTATTGCGATTTCAACTTAGATTACGACTTTAAAATTACGACTTCAACTTAGATTACGACTTATGTTTTTTGCTTCAACTTTTCTTTATTGTGTTGAGTTGACAATAAAGAGATATTGCAAGTTTCTTCCATCGCATAGAGTTGCCACAAGTTTTATTCCTCCTGTCTATATATATGGATGGATGGATAGATGGGATGTGTTGGATTGACAATAAAGACATATCGTTAATTTCTTATATCGAGTTGTGCTNAGATGGGGTGTGTTGGATTGACAATAAAGACATATCGTTAATTTCTTATATCGAGTTGTGCTTATTCAATTTGTTGTCTTATTGTCATTCCTTTGCCTTGGCTTGTGTAAAATTTAGAATTTTAACACTTTGGTTTGTGTGAAATTTAGAATTTAGAACTTATGTTAGTTGGTATTGTCATAGTCCAAGAATGGATTCTATGAAGCTACCTTGCTACTAAGGCTGTGCTTTTTTATTTTGTTGTGTCTGACTTTTTATGTTGGCCATTTGATTTCATGCTTAAATGATGATCTACAGGGTACTAATATGCCTATTTGTTTAGTTCTCATAACTGTCCATGGTTTGCTGCTATATACTTAGTGAACAAATATGTCATGCAGTTGACATGTTTTCTAGGATTGTTTGGTTTGGAATCTATGCAGCCCCAACAGCACTCAAGTAGTATCTACTTTGCAAAGGAGACTCCGTTATTCGTCTCAAACAATTAGTTATTCGTCTCAAACAGCCACTGCTACTTCATGCAGAAGAACTACCAATTCTCTGCCCAATTCCGGTAGTTTCACTGCTCAATTGCAAAGGTTTTTTACTACATTGAATTGAATTCGGGACATTTCTGCTCCGATTGATTTGTGGATTTTTGCACTGAAAAAAATACTAAAATATTGCAAAATTTAAGGGAAGGAACAGAGCATTCGTGTTATGTGATTGGGTTTTAACTAACAGTGAGAATGGAACAGGAATTGAGTCTCTGTAAATCCAGATTGGTTGGATTCCATGCCATTAGATCTTGAATTCGTAATAAATGAATATTAACGAACACACAATTTGGCATCTTTAGATATGTGTTAATGGGAAATATGTTAAATTCCTTAGAATGAAATTTCGAACATATAATCAAATGATGCTGAATTTGATTTTATACTTAGAAGGATATTATGAGATGACTTTATTGATTTAAAGTGGATAAATGTTCTTCAAAATCTCGCCAACCTAATATTTGTTGGTGATTCATTAAAAAATAGTTGATTTTTGTTTGACAGTTGGGAAAGAGATTGTGGGTTTATTGGGTCATATTTGGTTCCAAAGTCTTTCTAAGTGAGATGGTTTTCCACTAACCAAGATCACTCGCATTTTTCATCTCATATTCTAGGAAACATACTTGTTTATTTCTCTAAAATGTGTTTGTGGCACTTGCGACAAAATTTGGGATAGTGATATAATTATCAATTTTATGTTGAATCCAACTAACGATAAAAGTAAAGGGTCTTATGTTTCGGATTTACAATTGTTTTATGTTGCCTCATATATTTTGATAATTGATTATATTTCAAATATTTTCAGGTATACATGGAAGGATATGAAGATGAAATTGAAGGTGTTTCTCTATTTGTGCATGTGTTTTATTTTTTGTACAGTTAACTAATTATACATGGTTATGATAGTTTTGTTTTGATGGTTTGAATAAACATGGTTATGATGATTGTGGTGATATATATAATTGTAAGTTTTATAAACAGGCTTAGATTTTTTTGGGCTTCTATTTTTAGAAAAAATTCTGTCCAAATTTTTTGAAATTAGTAGGGACTAGCTTGATATTTTTTGTGGTTGGATATATGTTGATGATTGTGTATGTGTTGATGATTGTGGTGGTATAGTGAATTATGATGATTGTGGTGATATGTATAATTGTAAGTTTTATAGACAAATTTAGATTTTTTTGGGCTTATATTTTTAGATGAAATTTTGCTCAAATTTCTTGAAATTAGTAAAGACTAGCTTGATATTTTGGTAGTTGGATATGTGTTGATGATTGAGTGTGTATTGATTATTGTGGTGGTATAGTGAATTATGATGATTGTTATGTATGATTATAAGTTTTGTAAATAAGTTTAGATTTTTATGGGTTTCTATTTTTAGAAAAAAATTATGCTGAAATTTCTGAATATTAGTATAGACTACTTTGATTTCAAATTGACAGGTTGTTTTATGTTGCAAAGAGTCTTTAGGTAATGTAAAATTCTTCGAGTTTTAAGTTACATGAGACTATTTTGATTTCGTTACGCTATGCCTTCAGGCACGGGCAATTACTAGTGTATATATATATATATATATATATAACGAGTAGTGGTAGCGGGGGTGGGGGTAAGTGCATTTCCGCCTTCATCCCTATACAGGTATCCCCATATACATCCATTGTCCAATATGTATAGTCCATCTCCGGTCCAAACGAGACGAGTTTAGACGAATACTCGTTTTTTCCCGGTCCATTGTTATCCCTATTCGAAATGGAGAATTACGCTAAGTCCCTGAAGTTTGTTGCAGAAATCTGGAGATTTAAAATATTAATAAATTACACTTAGACCTCTTAACATTTGTAGGCATATAATATTTAGACTTTTTAAGTTTAAAATGTAATACTTAAACCAAAAATAGTCTAACTAAAGATAAAATATCAAATATTTCAAATTTTACAATNAAGCATATAATATTTAGACTTTTTAAGTTTAAAATGTTATACGTAAACCAAAAATAGTCTAACTAAAGATAAAATATCAAATATTTCAAATTTTACAATCAACATTCATGTTCTATTATATTATTTATTAAAATAAAATTAAAAATGAAAATCTAATTTTTATGTAATTAATATAATACCAAATGAAATAAAACTAAAAAATCAAATAAAAGGTCTAAGTCATTCATAATAAAACATGAATTTTACAACCAAAATTCATGTTTTATTATGACATTTATAATAGTTGATGATCTATTATGACATTTATAATTAGTACACAATTATACTATCTATTATAATAAAATTAAAAAATAAACAAGAGGTTAAACTGTAATTGACATAATATGTTCTAAATTTAATTGGGTCATTTGTTAATTTAATTTACTCTTTTAAATGACCAAATTAAATTTCAATAATTAATATAATTATATATTAATTATAATTTTTTAAAAAAATAATAGATTTTTATTTTTGATTTTATTTCAATAAATGAATTTTTGTTGTAAAATTTAAAATATTTAAAATTTTTTCTTTGATTGAAAATATTTTTTTATTTAAATATAACATTTTAAACTTGAGATGTTTAAG